AACCCATTTTAAATTCATGACTTTTGAAGAAAGCAAGATGACTCAAGTACTTGGGTTTTTAATAACCAAGTCCAAATCAATGGTTCAGGGGTTCTGATTCCAGAAAGTGAATTGACCTATGTGATCATTGAGGATGATGAAAAACTACCGGTGATTAATTGCATCACTGGAGGTAATTGATAATGAAGGAAAAATTTTATTACCAATCTTATCTTATCTTTATTATTGTTTGTTTCATACAAGCGAATTCCTAAGATTGGCCCAAGGCAGAGGCTTAAATGGCTTGTAAGAGACAGATACTATTTTTCAATAGTATCTTAGATAAACAGTAGGTTTATCTAAGGTATTCTAATCTAATCTAATCTAGATAATAAGCAATAATCGGGGTATATTAGAAGTTCATATAATTTTCACTAATTTACAAAGAGCAGTAAATTAATGGATTAAGATAAGCCTTTTGAATGTTACGAGGCAAGAATATTTTATTTCTATCTTTGATAATTTTTTTCAGACTTTGATGAAGGAGAATCTTTAAAGAATCTCTTTATGGCAGAAGCAAAAATTTTTAAGAACAACTTCCCCCAGGTTCTCATGGTGCATGCTGCATCTGCAATTGCATCAAACTATGAGCTGGTTGTTCAAGAGTTTGATGGTTGCTCTATACCTGTACTCAAGGGTTGCCCTGTATCAGGAAAAACCACAGCCATGAAAGCTGCCCTGAGTGTTTTGGGGAAAAAAAATGACTGCATCAGTGGTAAGTTCAAATCAAAGTAGATATGTAATAGAACCTCTCCTATATCATGCATATAAAAGAAATTTGAACTGATGAGTGAAAAAAGTTACGCGATACCTATTTTATTAATTTTATGATTATTAATCAGTAGTATCAGTGTTACAGTGCCAAAAAGCACTATGAATCTATGGTATGTTATTTTCAGTTTTTTTTTTCCTCTTACCCATTTTTATCATATTGATGAAAAGCAGTAAGTGTTGCTGCATTTGCTTTTATTCTGTTTGGGTCATTACTTTCAGAGGCTACATCGAAATTCATTGAGACCAAGCAAGGAATCTCTACCATCCCTTTTGGATGGGATGATTGCTCTTGTGTTAAGACACTAAAAAACATGGCGGTGAATTCATACAATGCGGTAAATATGCTGAAGCCTGTATATCATAGGAGTTAACAGATAAATATATACATATATACCATTTTTCCAAAAGTCTGAGAATCAACTGTAGATATATTGATACAGTATAGGGTTTTTAAACAACACATGATTCTCTGTGACTCAAATTATCGTGTTTGTACACTTGTTGTAAAGATACAAGCTTAAATCTGCCTCACAAGTACATGAACAGAATTTTCTGATTCATAGACAATCATGCGTTGCCTTGTGTAATCACATTAAGCTCAACATAGGTGTATTGAGAGCTTTTAACAGTATTGTTAACCAATTACCATGATTAGGTCTATAGACATGTACGGTAAAACTGAATTTTGGCAGTCAAGTCTTGGTTTTTTGTTTCATGATTCCATTTATTCATACAGATAAATGATACCCACAAACAAAGAATTTTGTCGAGTTGACATAAATAAAACTTTGAATGTTATATTTATTTCATGGATTCATAGGATAACATTCAGTTTTTATTTTTCCTTAGTGTGGGAGTGCAAATGTAAGGAAAACCTACATTCCACGTACAGTTCCACTGGTCACCACCAATCTTGATTTAGGAGATTTGAAGTAAGTTGTAAATTTTTTCAACTCTATTAATCTAATAAATTCTAGCTTAAATGTTAAAGTTGAAACAACTAAACACACGATTTCCTCTAACTCTGAGTTTTGCGCTAGTTCGCTCTACACTCATGTGTATCAAGAACTTTTCAACAGTATTCGCGCATCTGATGCTGAACTTTTTCAAAACATGCACACGTTTCTATGTTTTTCAATGTACTTTGGAAAATGGCTTTGCATGAAATTTTGTCAACTGATTAAATCACAACATGCCATTTGTGTTGACATTTTTATAATAATTCCAAGCCTTGTTTTTTTATTTAGTCATTTTACAAAATTTCATGCAAATTCATTTTCCAAAGTAGAGTGAAAAACCTAGAAACATGTGCATCTTTTGAAAACCTCCAGCATTAGTGTTTTGTTGATTAAATATAAAAAAATGTAATGTTTGTAAAGATAGCTAACTTCCCCATCATACGCATTTAAGGATTTGTTAGATTATTTCCTTTCTTACTTTGCTAATTTATTAATAAATGCTATAGATATAAAAGCAGATGGCTTAGGATTATCTTCGAAGACCCTAACCCTAAGCTAGCTGGCATGGATCGCCATTCTGCAGAGAGAGGACTGAGGGAAGCCATGAAGACAGCACATAAAAGTGTGCGCGTCGTAACCATTAACACTTCAAACTACATTTACAATCGCATGCAAGATGAAGATTTTGCATCCATAGTTGCAAAGCTGGAAGATGACTTTCCAGATTTGGATCAGAGGGCAAGTGCTTCCTATTCCCTCTTGTTGTATGTCACTAAAAAGGTAAATAAAAAATAATTTTGTAATACACTTGAATCTCTATTAATCTTAACGCCTTGGGAAACTGAAAAAGTTTCTGCTATTTTAGGTTTCCCTGAACCCTGAATGGAAATGATTCTTGAAATAGACAATTAATTTAATGAAGATATTGCATAATTTGATTACAACCTTAACAATCAAGTACAAGTTTGGTTTAAGCAAAGATAAATAGCTATTCATTGATTAATTTATTAAACATTTCCCTGTCATGGATTCATTTTTCCTCTTGTAATCTTTGTATGCAGCTTGACCAAGTGATCTTGTACCCTTTATACTTTTTCACTTTAGTCATGCTGCATGCATTAAGCAAGTTACTCCACTAAAAAGTTGTTTTAATTTATAACATTAGCTTGAAATTGAGGTTCTAGCTAGCTAGCTTGCAATTCTGGTAATTACAGCTGACATCTATGATCATAGCCAATTAAAACTGCTTTGCAGAATACTTTAGAGAATTAATTATTGTTAATAACAAATCACAACCACAACCTCACCATAAATTCCATAACCATTCAATGATACATTTTGCTTTTCAGATGCTTCAGGATGTTGGTTTGAATAATTTCTTTGAGCTAGTAGAGAGGAAAATGTTTGAAGTTATCATACCAAGTTATATACAACTCCAGACGATGAAGCCATGTAAAGAAACAAGCATTAACCATACAAATGATGATGTCAGAGAATTCCTAGATTCATTCATGATAAAAAAATTGCTTCAGGGTGATCCAGAGGTGGTAAGTGTAACTAATTGAATATTCATAAAACATTAATAAACAAACAATATTAAATTGCTCAATTAATATATTTTTTAGTTTGAACCCTTGTTTGTAGAGCTTATATACATGAATAAATTATCAAACCATGTTGATCAGTTTTCTTCACTTATTTATCCTTTTTTAAAACAGGTCTTAAGGTTTTTTGATCAAGACTTCTCACCAACAAGTTGTGGTTGCAGAGAAACAATGGCATTCAATGTAAATGAATTGATCAAGTTTTGCTATGAAGGCCAAACCAGTCCACCGCCAAAAATAACTGGAATTTCGCTACGAAATTTCATTAAGACTCAGAAAATAGGCCATGCTTGCAAGGTCTATTTCAGGAAGAACTCTAGTCAAATGAATGCATTCCACATACAACAATCATGGTTCTCAGAAGAAACCTTAAAAGAACTACATAAAAGTAAGTCTCATGAGGAATGGCCATTTTTTAATTGCATGTGTCATAATCCATTACTAGTAAATAGCCAGTTTAGCTTAGTTGGTAGAGCAATGGTCTTGGTGAGGTTACTACACTTGCTCTCTTCTTATTTGCAAAAGGTAGATGTTTTAATTGAAACACTAATGTGTATGAATATTGATGAGGCTAAAGCTATTAAACAAGTGTGGCAACTTAACACATTAACGTTTTGTTTACTTTTGTTTCAGAATTTGGTAGAAGAAAAACAAAGATAAATCAGGGAAAGAATGGTTAGTAAAAAAGTGATTTGTTATATTATAAAAGCCTCTCTCTCTTTGGAGATGATATGATTTCAGTGAATCCGTTTCTGATTTAGGAAATTATTGACAACATGGATCCCACTAAAACTGGCTCACCTACATTTTAACCTGGCTGTTTGAACAAAAAAATTTTGATCATGTGATCAAATATTTACGTACCAATGGAATATTTTTGTGACCCGGGAACATTCCTTGGACATGCTTTCAAGGTGTTCTATTTAGCAACTCAAATAGTGGCAAACCCAAATTTTTGTCGTACTAAATGAAATTCTCAATGAAATTTAACATGAAGTTTATGAATAAAATTCATCATTCATAACAGCCAAATCCTACAAAAAGTCAAATTGATGACATTAATGTAACAGGCATCAAGGAAAGTTTTTTTTAACCAAAAGTTGGCTTCAAGAAAAATGGTTTCTGCCATATTTTAAGATGTTGAATTCTAGAGTGAAAACAACTATTTTGAATTTTTAAGACAGACAATTGCAAAAAGCCAATTCACAAGAATCTAAAGGTTTTTCTTTGTGGAAAACTTTAATAGACAAATGTTATTAATCATNTTTTTTCGTTTGTCCACAGAGACGCTTCAACATTCACTGTCAATAGCGCCAATCGAATTGGCCGTAAGTACAAGAAAGTTTTATACCGCGAATACACCAGTGCCCAGTTTTCCCAACAGAAAATGAGAACCGAGGCTGAGAAGCACCTCGGGGTATTGGGTCCTATGTTGCACGCTGAAGTTGGAGACACAATCGAGGTGACGTTTAAGAATATGGCCAGAAGAAATTATTCCATGCATCCACATGGACTGTATTACACGTAAGTCAAGGCAGTGGCTTGTGGTTACTGTTACTGAGGGCAAATATTATGGGTAACATTGCAGACCCAATAGTCATAAAGGTTAGGACGCTTAACTCCGTTTAGAAAGTCTTGGGTTCTAGCCTTGACCGGATTATTTTCTTTATGGTAACTGAGAAGTCAGATGATAAGAATGTTTAAACTTCCTCTTTCATCAACCTTTTTTTCTTGTAGGAAGAGAAACGAGGGTTCAGATTATGATGATGACACATGGCGGGGTGAGAAAATCGACAACGCAATTCATCCCGGTCAAATCTACACCTACAAATGGCAAGTTCCTGAACGCGCGGGTCCTGGACCAAATGGTCCAACCTGTGTCACGTGGGCTTATTACTCTGACGTCAATCCTATAAAAGACAGAAACAGTGGATTGGTGGGACCGCTAGTCGTATGCAAAAAGGTTAGTTCGGCCATTGGTCTTCGCACAGTACTCTGTCTACCTCAAAAAAGAGACGAGAAGGGGGGGAGTTGGGGGGAGTTAAAAGGGTATGCGAATCTGGGGGAACGCGCTAAATTTTGGTCTAACCCATCGATATGCCGTTATTTTATGTTCTATTGTTCAGGTAAGTGGCGGGACGGCGTTACAACACGTCGCACACTGAATTACCAAGCTGTCGGGTATTAAAGTCAAGACTTCGAGGGCTTAATTTAGCAAACCACGTTTTCTTTCTCCAAATAGGGGCACATTTTTTATCCATCTGGTCATATATTTGCTGGTGATTAGGTAACACGGGGAGGAAAACTCCACTATTGCAAGATTTTAAATTGATCAAACGACTACTATTTTTATGAAAAAAAATTCTGCAGGACACGCTGACAGCAACAAATTCTAGAAGTGATGTAGATCACGAGTTTGCGCTGTTGTTCACGGTCCTGGAATTGAATCAAGTATTTTTCAACAGAAACATGTCGGTTATCACCGCGAGGATGTGTACGATCTCTTCCCAGGAGTCTTTGCAACCGTGGAGACGATTCCAGACAGTGTAGGGGCCTGGTTGCTTCATTGTCATGTGAATGATCACATGGTCGGTGGAATGGAAACGCTTTATACTGTTTATGGTATGTTTTGTGCCTTTTTGGAGTCCCGTGAAAAACCCTTTTACCCGTGCCTAACATCTTCTGTTGTGGTAAAACTGAAAGTAGATTGAGTTGTGATGATATTTATTCTAATCAAGAGAATATCGAATTTGTTTGAGGTTTTTTTGCATCTCTAGAAAGTAACGATTTAAACAAAATTAGGTGCAATGATAACTGTAGCCGCCAAAAAAAATGTGTCTTAGACGGCAACAAAGCTTCTAGAGAGGAGTTTAGAATCATATGAGCCTTTTCTTCGCCTGCAGCGGGAGCTTTCGTTCAGGAAGAGATTGTAGAGTGTGTCTAGTTTTAAAAACTAACACAATTCTGCTCTCTAGAAAGTAACGATCTGAACAAAATTAGGTGAATCAACTTAACAGCCAGTTGGCTTGTTAGCTCAATTAGTAGAGCGTTGCAGTAGTATCGCAGAGGTCAGTGGTTCGAATCCCGTACAGGCCTGATTTTTTTCAGGTCTGATTTTCGCTATTGCATAAATAGCGCTCTCTACTGCAAGGATCGTGCATCATACGTATGTATGTGCTTTATTGGTCAAGCGGAGTCAAGATGGCTGGACATTGGCAGAGTTCTTATTTGCACTCTTATGGACTGAGATGAAGGTTCATAAAAAGGTAAAAATAAAAGAATACGGTTAACATCCAGCCATCTCAGTTGACCCAACGAGCTTGGTTATTCAAGGATTTATCATATGCCAAACGTACATCGCTCTAATAAGACCCAACTATGGTATGTTTATTTCCGAGCACTGGGAAATTCATATCACTTCGTGTTCCAGCTTTTAAATTTTGAGGTTTCTATAACACAATAAACGGTTCGAAACTCGCTCATGCTTTCTTTGTTATGACTGGTACCTGCCGCTCTTTACGACTCCACGACATTTCCCCATAATTGCGAATTTTGTCAATCCTCTTAGCAATTTTTTCTTGCGCGGGATTAAAGTGGGCAATTTCGAGCGGGCAAGATTGTCGATCATGCCAGGTCGGGTAGCCAATTAGGACAAAGGGTTCGCATCATCTTTCTCACTGGCGCTTTTAGATAGCGTGCGTGTTTCCCACGGGCTCCCCTGTACTTAAAAAAGTTATGATTGTAGGCTATTTTAGTAGTTGTTCAGTGCGCGTGTCTGTATACATGGAGGTGGGGGACCCCCGACAGGTGAGGTTGGCCGCCTAGCCGTGCTCGAGGTTTGCATCCCGCTCCCCGGGGTGCGGGAGCAAAGTTTCTCGTAGTTGTTGTTGTGCTTGCAAATAGTGAGTCTAATCGTAAGCGTTCCAAGCTCACGTTCCAAAGGTCACACGTCGTGCTGCATGGTGTTAGGTTACGCGAGGAACTGTTGACAAATCATCCACCTCACATTTTCATCGGCATCATAGAACCTGGGACTATACGATGCAGTAGACTTTCTGCGACTTTTAGACTACTACAACTTTATACAGCAACTGCGTTCCCTACGACTTACAACCCTAGACTACCCTAACTAGATTATTACCACTCCCCTTTTCCCTAGCTTACCTGTTCTGCTCACCGACGACGACCTAAAAACGGAAAAACCAACAATGACAAGCCAACTACAAGTCAATATTCAATAAAAACAAACGAACCGACAAAATCGCACGCAACATTTTGCAGAAACACCATACAACATGCATACCAAAGTCACAAAGACCTACAGCAACTCAACGAAACTGCACACACTCCTATCAAATAAGATTCTACGCAAAAAACCTAGTCATTTATCAAATTCAACCACGCATACTTGAATACCTTTTGTTAGGAATTTCATATTGTTGTCAATTCTAGCTTTTATGGCTGGAAATCTTTTTACGAAAAAACCTCAGCACCTCAATTAATTATCCAACAATTTCTGATTATTATGCACCAAGTTTTAGTACATATCTTATAGAATGGACTTTTCTTCCATTCGCAATGTTGAACATGCCTGTACTTAAACAGTTAGAGGCATTTTTAAATTCGTACATTATGTTTGTACCCATATTGTAAACTAGTTAGCCTCATTATAACTACATATTGTTAATACATACCTAGCCTTTATCAAATATAAATATTTTCAATTTATGATACTAACAGTCATTTTATGAATTAGTTGGGCTTTCCACTTCAGTTATTAACCTCGTCAATTTTAAAACCTAAGATTATTCAACTTTTGACAACAACAACTTTACACAATTATTCATTCAAGTTGAGTATAAACAGTGCCCCTCTTTTCCTATTTATAAAAAAAAAAAAAAAAAAAAAAAAACCCAAGAATCAACAGAGGTTTCATTTGTAAGTTGAATTTACATTTTTGTCCCCTCGTTCTCTCTTCGTGGTTTGAGATCCCTCACATATAGATACGGATCCCTCAGCACAAGTTTTCGATGCTCTTTCGCTGTAGATGAAGGAATACTCACAATAAAATCTGTTACTTATTAGTGATATGACCTACCATCCGAAACGCTCCGACCATCACATCCGTGTTTTTTTTTATTAGGTCAGTTACCACCTTCCCTCGATTACCCAATCCAAATAAACCCAGTAATGAATACTTTCTTTGCATCCTGAGGACTGTGTCAATCATCTCCGAGGCAGCGTCGGGCTCTTTAGAAAGCGAAAGTTTCGCCTGTCCATGTTTTTAGCACATATCGTCACTCAAAGTCGAATAAAATTTACAACAGGCCCATACTCCTTTTCGAGCGTGAACTCCTTCGTAATGAGATCACGCAATCGTGGCATCAGGGGATTAAGGAGAAGTTTCATCTTTTTTTCTATTGGTTACAACGCAGTTTTATTTCTGAAAAAGTGACACCCAGCCAGGAGCCTTTTCCTTTCACCGTGAGTACCCTTTATTTTTATCATTTATTCTAGCTAGTATAATGACTATTGGACTATTTTAATTAAAACTGGTCCCCACGAGATTTGTTTCCACTCTTGCGGTTTTACATTCGCGAAGCATCGTACGCTTTACAAATGTTATCAAGAGTTAAACCTTCCCTATCCTGGATACGGTTACCACTTCTTCATAAAGTTCTTCTATTCCTTTCATATTTACGGTCAATCCCTGTGACCAGCATTAGAAGGCCTTTTCTCTTTCCTCTTTCTTTTAAACTCGGCGTAAGGGTGTCGGGAATAGGTCTGGTACTGGACTGAGAAACACCCCTGCTCAGTTGAGCTTCGGCCCTTAAGATTCTCAACTCAATGAGCCTTATTGTCGATGATTTTCTCTTCTCCACCCGGGTTAGGTTAATAAATGGTGATGCCTTTACTTATTTTCCTCCTAACCGCAAGACATGAAACCGATTTAAAAGTGTTATCGCTTATTGGTTTTTTCAAGAATGGATCCTCACTTCACAACATTTGGCAACTGGAAAGAGGGAAGAAAATGAGCAGGACAAACGGATTTCATGGTGACCAATGTTGACTCAAAATCATACATCTGGTTTTATTACTCGGGCTTCCGTAGGAAAGCCTGAGTCTGAAAATGCAAGCCGTTTTGGTCGCCACAAGGGAGGTCATGGTCCCAGGCGTTCCTTGCGTAAACCGCGGAAACTGGGGATGAGAGTGCGACAACTTGTGTTATCGTGAGCTCGCTCCTCATAAACAACGTAATTTACAGAATGCTGTGTTTTGTGAAGACCGCTTTGCAAAGATTCCTGTCCTGTAAGTGTTGTATCTCATGACGTAATGTAATGTACGGGAAATTCTGGGTGAATAAAAAGATGGCCGCTTGAGATTAGCACGTGGTG